GTCACCATTAGAGCTGGTGCATGCTCCATCGATGGTAGACCTATCGACATCCCTACTCTTGTTTTCATTACGTGCCCTTGTTTGTCTACCCGTTTTATGGCTGACTTTTTCCAAGTTTGCCGACAACTTATTCCGCAGACATGTTAATAGAACAATGGTGTTACTCAGCAGTACTACAGCATCCGTGCTGCACGTAACACATATCCACTTATGATCCGACTTGCTAAGTCTATTGTAAGCAGTTGCCGTGAGATCTGTGCACGCTTCATGGGACCAACCTTTGCAGTTGTCGCACTGCATGCGAGATGTAACAGCAAAACGGCATCCAGGTCTTTTGCATGAATTTTTCATGACTCTATTGACGTAAACTGTAATATAGATACTATCAAAAGTTTAAGACCGTTAAAAATACACTAAAAAACACACTAAAACGGGAAAAATGTATAAAAACGGATGAGATAAGATAAACTAGCCTTTACGTGAAAAACTGAAAAAAACCGAATAGTAAGCTGAGGCGAAACCACAGTTAACTATTAAATTGGGTGAAACTCAAAAAAGTAATCTACCGAACTTATAGCTCAGAATAGACTATTTAGATCAGAAACGGTTCTTTTGTTGCCTAAGAACAAAGCAAACGTTTGAGAAATGCAAAACACGTTAGGACTAAACTTTTCGTTCGAAAAGCACGCGTGATAATGACTAAAACCATCTACATCCATATCTTATAAATTATCGACCCAGCTGAGTAATTTGCTACAGTTGAAAATAGTATCATTTGTAACAATTCGATCTTGCCTGTAAACTGGCATGCCTCATGTAACAAACTGTTATTTGAGAATAAATTATTATTATTACCGGCACATACGTTATTTGATTTCATAATTTAAACCAAATATAATATCAATTTTGACATTTCTACAATACTGATTGTTTTTTAATATTTCTAAATACAAAATGCTGTTAACCTACGGCTATTACTATGCATCATACGGTGACTTACTAAAACATCCCTGCATGGAATCATTCTATTATCATTATAATCGCATTTTTAGCCCATATAATTCCCACCTGAAACTCTATTTTAAGCGTGTTAAGCATTCAAACAGACATTTTAAAATTATTACTTGTATTTCCCGACCAGTTGCTGCCGCCTCTTTTTTGAATTATCTTTCAGTTTATCAATACCCGGAGGGTTCTTACTATTCTTTGTCACCTCCGGTGTGCGACAATCCCACTCAAATTGGTATCGAACCAACGTCACGTTCATCCTCATCTCATCTAATGTCTCATCTAAAAATACACTTCTCAAATGAAAACCTTTTACTCCGTATATTGAAGATTTATGGACAGTAGTGAACCGGCTTGTTAGAAACTTAGCCTTTGGTGCATGAATACGTTAACTCAAGAATCAATTTTAGCAAGAGTAATGAGAACAGAATCTGACATTAAAACGTACTGATACATGTAACTGATAAATAGCAGTGTAAAGAAACAAAGCTTGAGGAGAAGCTGAAAGCAATTATCCGATTTATGTCCGGTGTATTAAACAGTCTTAGCTTCACTATTTACAAATGTGTTAGTTTAACTCAAATTTTGAGTTTATTTACCATTTTGGCTCAGAACATTTTCCATTCCACACTATCTTGGTCTTGTAATTTGAAAATTTTGCACCGAAAACCTAGAGACTGAAAGTTTTATATAACTTTAATTTATTTTAAGAACAATATGCTTGAGTTGATTACCTGTGATTTACGAGTAAAAATCGGTATTTGAGCTGGAATTCTGTTCTCCCATTACTTAAGGCGTAAGTTACGAATGGATCGATCGATTACGCTATGGAAAACCACAAAATAAACTTAAGCTCTCCAATTGGTTATTCTAGGGTTATCTTAAAGTGCATACAGAAACGAGCGACCAAATACCTGTTGACAAAGCTTCAAGTAATAAAACGATAAAGCTGTGGATTTCACTTAACAATATCCACCTGAAACTTTCTTATCGCCTAATAGCATATAGTGATAAATATACACCCAAACTAAATAGTTCCGAAAGTCTTGTACATTGATGCTACTGAATGCATTCTAGCTTAAGGCACTCGATGACGCATCTGCACCAGGTCTCGAGCGAGCACGCCGTTGAAGATGCCACAGGTATTCGGAGTTTGACAACACTTTAACCAGTAACACCTTCTAATACGAAGCGCACCCACCAAGTAAAATCAAAAGACAGAAGCGAGGAGATCGAAGATATATTTGATAAGCTATCAATATATCGAGGATCGTTTGCACTAATCTGGCTAGCGATTGAGGCAGATGTTGAGCACGGCGTTCCCACACGTGATCTGGTGCGGATGCTTCACCGAGCGCCTTCAGCTAGATGAGTCCACTAAAACTGTGGTCAGCATCCAATGTCGAAAACTTACAGAGCTATTTGATTTTGGGGAATTATTTACCGCTACAGATCACTACCCCACTAGTGGGGTAGTGATGACCCTAAGACGTGGCCAGCCAGAAGTTTAAACCCAACGAGTTTTTCGTTGGTAAACACTCTTCTGATAGCTTGCTAGGTTTAGCAGCGTCTGGTCGTCTTTCCTTACTATAATGGACCATGATGTACAATATAGTAAAAAAAGTACAACGCAGATTTTTGTTTTTCGCAACTTCATCGTCCTTTTCATCGTCTTTTCCAGTCGTCCTGGAAAAGAAAAGAAAAATATGTAAGTGCATGTCGGGCGAAGAAAAAGGAAAACAAACTCATGCTCACGTAGTAGCGTAAAATAAGATTTTTATAATATCGTTATTTTTTGTTTTTTTTTGAAATAAAAAAAATAATAATATATAAGCATATTAAATTCAGGTTTTTTTTAAAAAAAATTATACAAGTACCAGGGAAAATCGAGGGGATATAAAATGTTAACCTGTGTCTTACGTGCAGTAATCGTTCAAGTGTTCTGGAAATCTTACTCTTCTTCCAGAACGCGTTGTTTTGAGTCTATTTTCGGATACTGTCGCAGTATCAACGTGTGTGTCTGCTGTCGATTGAGACATTATAAGCGCAGGAGTTGTGTCGTGCGATTGTATTGAAGGAAAATCGACGCTGCTTTGAGGCGATCGATACTGATGCTATCGTTGGTTCCGTTCTTATCGATTATATAGTACTTAGGTTCGCGTTGAAGAACTTTGAAAGGTCCTTCGTATACTGGCTTGAGAGGTCCTCAATGCGAGTCTCGACGTACGAAAACGTGTGTACTATATCGTAAGTCAGGTTGAATGAAAACTTCAGTTGATTGTGGTCGAGTCGAAACAGGTTTAACTGAAGGTATTGCGTTTGTAAGCCTGTTCGCGTAGGAGGTTAGATCCATGTTCAACGAAGAGGATGTAGGATCCACGAATTCTCCTGGAAGTCGAAGGGTCGTTCCATAAACGAGTTGAGACGCAGTGTACCCAATGTCAGCTTTCACTGCATTGCGAATACCTAGTAAGACGAGTGGAAGTGCGTCAGTTCACTGAGAAATGTTTGAGGCTGATAGTGACGCTTTAATTTGTCGGTGAAAACGTTCTACTAACCCGTTTGCTTGTGGGTGGTAGGCCGTCCTTCGAAAGCGAGTGATTCCTAGTTTCATGGTCAGACAACGGAACAGTTCAGATTCAAACTGACGTCCACGATCTGTAGTAATGGTTGTTGGGCAGCCGAAGTTTGCTACCCACCTCTCGACGAAGGCGCGGGCCACTGTTTCAGCAGTAATATCTTTGATGAGTACTGCTTCTGGCCATCGAGTAAAACGGTCTACGCATGTTAAAAGATAAGAATATCCATTTGAATCTGGTAAAAGTCCTACCAAATCCAAATGAACATGGTCGAAGCGAGCATCGGGAGTTTTAAACGAGCCTAAGGGACATTTTTTATGCCTAATAACCTTAGATTTCTGGCAGCTTACACAGGAGCGTGCCCACTCCCTCACGTCTTTATTCATACCAGGCCAGCAAAACCGTTCTGCTATAAGCTTGATGGTTGCACGAACACCTGGATGAGAAAGTCTGTGCAACGTATCGAAGACGTTGTGTCGATATTGTTTCGGCACGATTGGGCGATCCCCACCTGTAGATGTGTCACAAAGTAAGGTTTCCTTACCTGTTCCCATCTGTTTAATGCGCAGTTTAAGTGTTGTTGAGGCCTACTCGTGCTGAAGATCACTGTCTTCTTTTTGAAGTTGGGCGAGTTTTAAAAGGTCGATTCCTTGGGAACTGTTCAAGGAATTTATACGAGACAAGGCGTCTGCAACTACATTGTTTGCTCCAGAAATGTGTCGAATATCTGAGGTAAACTGCGAAATGTAGTCCAGTTGTCGAGACTCACGTGGTGAGTACTTGTCCGAAGAAGAGCTTAAGGAGAAAGTAAGTGGTTTATGGTCGGTAAAAATGATAAATTCACGGCCTTCGATATAGTGTTGAAAATGCCGGACAGCACAATACATAGCTAGGAGTTCCCTACCGAATGTGTTGTACCTCGATTCAGTGTCTAGCAACCGTCTAGAGAAAAATGCCAAAGGTTGCCAGGAGTAGTTAACACATTGTTGCAAGACTGCTCCGATTGCTGAGTCGGATGCGTCTACTGAGATGCTAATGGGCTCTTTAGGGTCCTGATGAGCAAGCATTGCTGCTCGGGCGATATTTTCCTTAACCGTGGAGAATGCTTTTCGGGTAGTGTCATCTAGATTAATGGATTTCGCATTTCCACGAAGTTGGTCGGTAAGGGGTTTCATAAGTAACGCGCATTTCGGTATGAATCGTCTATAAAAACTTACCAGACCGTTAAACGTGCGCAATTGCTTGATGGTGGTCGGTTCTGGGTAATCCAGAATGGCCGCCACTTTCGTTCTAAGGGGTCGAATGCCATGCGCATCTATAGTGTGTCCTAAGAAGTCTAAGGATTCGGTTCCGATTTGGCATTTCTGAATGTTTACGGTAATGCCATGCTTTTGTAGTCGGTCGAACACAAGGTCCAGATGATGGAGATGCGATTCTTTGTCCGGACTTGCTATTAGGCAGTCATCAACGTATGCATGTACGAAGTTGAGACCTCGAAAAACGTCATCTATGAACCTTTGGAAAGTCTGTGCCGCGTTTCTCAGACCGAAAGGCATTCGCAAAAATTCATAGAGTCCGAAGGGCGTTATAATAGCGGTTTTTGGAATGTCTTCAGTGGCCATAGGAATTTGGTTATAAGCTTTTACCAAGTCAATTTTTCAAAAGACAGTTGCACCTTTCAAGGTAGCTGTCAAATCGTGATTTCGAGGCAACGGGTAACGATCGGGAATAGTGTTTGCATTCAATCTCCGATAGTCACCAGTTGGACGCCAATCGTTGCTGTCCTTTTTAGGGACCATGTGCAACGGAGATGCCAATGGTCTATTTGACGGTTGTATGTTTGCTAAGTCTATCATATGGTCAAATTCGTTTTTCGCCAACCTTAACTTTTCAGAGGCCAGTCGGTGAGCTTTAGAGAATACAGGTGTTCCTGTAGTCGTGATGTGATGTGTAACGTTGCTGGTTACACACGGCAATTTCGGTTGCGTTTGATAAATGCCAGAATATTTATCGAGTATTGGTTGATAGAAGGGGTCTATATTGTGCTTAATTGTGACTGGAGATAACCTGCAACCAGAAAAAGAAGTCAGGCAAACAGATAAATTAGTGTTTCCGTCTACTAACCTCCGTTTGCGCGTATCGATAATTAAGTTGTGGTGTTGTAGAAGGTCCATACCAATGATTGGCATGGAAACATCTGCAACAACAAAAATCCAGTGAATGGGTTTGCGTAAACCCACGTTAAGATAAACATACCTTTGGCCATACGTAGCGATAGGCTTTCCGTTTGCCGCCTGTAGATTTAAAACGGGCTCGTGTAGCCGGTCGTTGGAATTCGCTGGGAGAACGCTAACCTCTGCGCCAGTATCTACGAGGTAGCGAACTCTCGTTATCACATCAGTGACATATAAAAGACGGCTATGTTCGCCGGCTACGGTCGCCGTTAACGCGTGCCGGCTTGGAAGTTTCCCGAAACATTCTTCGCGTCGACGGATTTCGCGTTGGGAAAATTGCAGGGTTTTCTGCAATTTCTGGCGGACTTCCCGTACTGGTTATGGTACCAGCACCAATCAGGATTATCCGTCACTCGAGTTCTAGATACGGATCGCCTACGTGATGTGCTTTTCCGCGGAGTAAGTGATCGTTTACGGTCGTTACCGAGTTTGAGATAGCGCGTAAGTGTATGACACAACTCTGTTATGTCATTCTGGGTCGTTTGAGGCTTTTCTTTGACTGAAAACACCTCGGCGTTAGGAGACCTAGTGATCTCGAGAATGCGATCGGCAGATGCCGCTAGTTCGTCTACGGCGTTGTTTTGGAACGAGACCAAAACAGCTTGCACCTGTTGAGGAAGTTTGGATAAGAAAGGTTGTTTGAATAGGTCGTCATCGAAGGTTCTTTGGCCAATGACTTTGCAACATGTCTGTGGCAGAACCGTGTTGCAGGTCGATGTTGTTAAGGAGTTGGTCTAACCTTTGTCGATCGGTTAGATCTCCGCGTTTAAGGATGGCCTGTTTCAGTGTTTGGTATGGATCAGAAACATCACTAGTAAACATACTAGGTGTTACGTACCTGTTGAATTCGCGCGGTAGTGCCTTGACTACTGCGAGGAATTGTGCACGCGCATCGTTCACACCGTGCTCGAGGAAGTCGGCTTCTGCATATCAAAACCAGGCTTCGACGTTGTCTGGCCAGAAAGGCATAAGTTGGAAAGAGGGTGGGGACGCAGTCTTTTACTTAAATACTCTAGGGGTCTGTTCAGTCATAGTAATATATCAAGTACGAAAAGTGAACGAGTGGCAAATATATATATTATCCCAAAAACACGGAAAAAATATCACAATGTAAAAAAAAAGAAATTAAAATAAGACAATGATATATAAAATCACAAATAGGAACAGACTCACAGTTTACAATATGGTGTACCAGATCACGTCGGGCTCTCCAATGAAGATGCCACAGGTATTCGGAGTTTGACAACACTTTAACCAGTAACACCTTCTAATACGAAGCGCACCCACCAAGTAAAATCAAAAGACAGAAGCGAGGAGATCGAAGATATATTTGATAAGCTATCAATATATCGAGGATCGTTTGCACTAATCTGGCTAGCGATTGAGGCAGATGTTGAGCACGGCGTTCCCACACGTGATCTGGTGCGGATGCTTGACCGAGCGCCTTCAGCTAGATGAGTCCACTAAAACTGTGGTCAGCATCCAATGTCGAAAACTTACAGAGCTATTTGATTTTGGGGAATTATTTACCGCTACACCGTGCTTCCCATCTCTTTCAGTTACTACTCAGCCTCGACCAATCACTTCTCGATATATTGACAGCTTTACGAATATGTCTTTAAACCCGATTCATTTTTGACCACTTATTTGATCGGCTTGGTATCTTTTGATTACAAAGGTGTCACGTGTGAAGGCTTTGTTAAACCCCGAATATCTTCGGCATATTGGAGCCTCCCCATGCCGATCCACATGTTCCCTTGAATGGGTACACGGATAATCGATCATGAAGATTTATGTAATAGTGTGCTTTCGATGACCGCTAAGTTTCAATAAACATAGCCAAAAGGCTAGACAGTACGCATTCCAAAGCAGGACGGAATTAAGTAATAACCAAATCAATAAGCAAGACATATATTCTTCGAAAGCTATTTTACTTCCTTGAGTACACATATAATACAAAACAATATAGTTAGCATCATGAAAACTTGAAACATCGCAAATAATGTCGCTTATCATATGATCGTTATTACGTAACACGTTCGAAACCTTTCAGTATCAACTTCTCTTTCCGATTAATAAATTGTTCTAATCTCACGCACGTGTTAATTATGATTATTGTCAAGTGCTTCCTTTATTAAATGTGAGTGCATTCTGTGTGCCCAATAAATCGTTGACTCAATTTATTATTGCTCTTTACCATCAAAGGTAATTCCGCTCAATGCTCCTAACACCCTCACAGCACAATAAGTTCCTTCAGACTAGACGCAAACCAACCGAAGGCTGAACGTTACAACAATTTGAGGTGCTCGGAAGCTGGATGTTTCGTATAGCACGCTAAAATATTTATATATTTTGAACACCTTATGCTGTGGTTAATATACATATTTGATAATTTGATGTATTTGAATTATTGTATTAACCAGGAATTCCTAAAACAGTGCAATTTATACCTAATTGAACTAGACGAGAACAAAGGAACGTCTTGTATTCGAAATTAAAAATCAGGCAGGAATCAAACACAAAATGACCATTAATTCATACTAACATCTCACGATCTCTAATAACATTGGCTTACTCTCACTAACACTTATCTACAGTGAAAATATACAACGTAAACTCAGTTCAATCGACTGATGTACTCGTTAGCTAATCGTCACGGGAATTCGTTAAGTTAATTTTCTTCCTACTGTAAGATGTCTGAAGAAAAGTGACTTATTTTTTGGAGATAGAGACTTACCTACACTTTTTAAATGGACTACCTTTTAGTTCTGAAGGTTAACCTACCGGTTCAAAGTAATTCGTGATGATCGGGAGGTTGAGTGTGTTTTCTCGGTTAGCTTGTCGAAGAGCTATTTATTTATTCCGAGATTTTTGTGCTGAGGCAGAACGTAACTTGTTGTTAATACTTTCACTGTCTTCCTAGTCTTGGTAGAAGATGGGAATAAGTCAAGAAGTTGTAAACCTTTACGCCCTTTATATTTTGATTTTCAAGCGTCTACGCCAATGGTAAATTTTATGTTGCGAATCACTGTTGAATAAAGGATCCTCGCGTATTAGATGCCATGTTACCGTTTTATATTAGTCACTTCGGTAACCCTCATTCACGCACACATGAGTATGGTTGGTATTGCGAAGAAGCTGTTGAAAAAGCTAGAGAGGTACTTCTCATTTCTAAGTTCTTAAAATCTTTCAGAATGTAGCTAATCAGATAGGCGCTGACCATAAAGAGATCATCTTCACCAGTGGTGCGACAGAAAGTAACAACCTAGCTGTAAAAGGTGTTGCTAAGTTTTACCACCCAAAGAAGAAGCATATTATAACTACACAAATCGTAATGAGTTATAGAGTAATTTTAGTTGCTTTTTAGGAGCATAAATGTGTCTTGGATTCCTGTAGAGTTTTGGAAAACAATGGGTTTGATGTTACTTATTTACCTGTTCAGAAAAATGGAATTTTGGATTTGGAGGTTCTGGAACGGTCTATTAAGCCTGAAACGGGTTTAGTCTCGGTCATAGCTGTTAATAATGAGATAGGTGTTCTCCAGCCTATGGAAGAAATCGGAAGACTATGCCGAAGTAAAGGGGTTTTCTTCCATACTGATGCTGCACAAGCTTTCGGAAAAGTGCCAATTGACGTCAATGCTATGAATGTAGGTTTCTATCTAATTATTACTGCTTCTTTTGAGGTACAGACTCTAAATGTTTTAATTTTTTTATTTGGCGATTCTGACTGCTAAATCATAAATCGTGACGGTTCAGTCTGACATAAGCTGGTATTCATGATTAAGGTGGTTTCTGCTAGTCATTGTTTTTGTTTTTAAGTACTTAACAGTGGATTTTTTAAAAATCAGTTTGCCACATTTCTGGAATTAGGATTTAAGAAATGCAGTTTTTGTTGATAATCCCTAGTCTGACGGTACTTGCTGTATTCTTGTGGCATGTCGTCATGCGAAAGGTAGTGAGTTTTATATGCCCTCAAAGTGTCCGGATTGCGAGGTTAGGTCAATAAAGGGTGTTCTTGCGGTCCGTAATTTTATGTCTGGATTAATAAGCTATACTGTCCCTAGATATGCTTCAAGTTGTCTGGTAGTTTTCCAGTTAGTCGGACAAAGAATTTTCGTAATGAAGTATGAAGTTAGATACATTGTCGTTCTTGGAAGAAAGGCATACTCACTAATATGAATGCACGGTGATTTAGTGTATCAATTCAATTCAACAATCGTTCTGACATTGTAACGAATCCATCAGCCAGTTTGTAGACTACTGAAATATTGATGCGGATATCTGTAATTACTCACAAAATGTCTGCATAGTGTCACTCCTTAAATTTCCCTTTCAATGACAATAATATGAGTTTTGGTAATCACTATTGTGTTGCTGTATGGCAACCTACGTTTTACAGTTATAAATTTATTTGTTGACATGCATGTAATTCACAGTAGCCTTCTGAGTTAAGACAATGTTTCTTTACAGAATGTAATTACATTTTATCATAAACTAGTTTCTTACAAAAGATCTAGCTATACTTGATTAGTTTTTCTAAATATTCCCCAGATATTTTATATTGGCTCTCGTTAACTACTTGTTTCGTCTTGAGCATCATCATATGATTAGTCATCTATACATAATGACCCTGGCTTTAAGATTGATGGAAACTCCATAAGTATGTGTGTTATCCCAAACTCCTTATATTTGTTTAGTAGCTAAATCTGTAGTATCATTGATTACAATCACTTTTGATACTAGTTAGCACACTGGAAAGTTTAGCAACTAGCTTATACAATTAGACGTCCTGTTGTCTACTATAAAGTAGATTTGATTGTATCCTCCACACTAAGTGTTTAGGTCAGTTATTTAGCTATGTAATTACAAAGATCAGACCATTTTCCTATCCTCATAATAAAAATTACTAAGAAGCATTTTTGTAAAGTTACTCTTGATCTATTTATCGTCAACACCTTGTTACTATTACTGATTTAACCCCCACAACACCTGTGTATATTGATAGAAATTATCAAGTCATCAGTAAACTATATGTGTTGAAACATTGAGGTGGTTTAGTATTTAATAGATATGATTTTCAAAAATTAACTGTCCACCAAGCGGTATTAAGACCTGTCTAACTTAAAATAGATGAAACCTTCGTATAATACGTATTTTGTACCACGATTCAAAGGATTATTTAAGTGTTTTATTTGGATTTTTCATATTATTAATATCGTCACTTAGTCAATACATAAAGTTTGCTCTAGCTATACATTATAAAGTTAACTACCAAATTCCAGGATTTTTCAAACTCATTGAATTTAACTAGGTTTCTTCTGACGTGCTTAAACATCACGTTTGCACTGTATGCATTACTATTCAGTAATCACTTAATTTTGTGAGCGTAAATATCACTGTGTAATGGTTTATTACTTTTCATAACCATTACATTGTTGTGATATGATAAACTTAAAGATATATTTTTGTGGAACTCTGTTCAGATTGACCTCATGTCCATTAGTGGTCACAAGATATATGGTCCTCAGGGGATTGGTGCTCTCTACGTACGTCGTCGACCGAGGGTTCGGTTAGAAGCTCAACAAAATGGAGGTGGACAGGAACGTGGGTTAAGATCTGGTACTCTTCCTACGGCCTTAGTTGTCGGCCTAGGTGAAGCAAGTCGTTTGGCAGGCGAGGAAATGAAAGTAAGTTTTCAAAAAGAATACTATTTACTTCTTGTCATCTAAAAACATGATTATTTTATCATGGGTGTTATTCATTTTGCTTCTTTTATTAGGCTGAGATCTTTCTTTTCAAAACCAGTTTTTCCAATACCTTTTAAAGGTTTTTGTCATTCAGGTAATTTATCATGATTACCGTAAGTCACCCTAGTAGTGGTGATGCAATTTCATATAATTCTACCTAACACTAACACTGAGCCACTTTTGTAAATGACTTTCGAAGTATTAATGAGAGTTTCAGACACCCTTTAAGATAGTTCCCAACCACGGCCTTGTCTAACTATTCAAGACCAGTCACGTCATCCGAAAACAGGGATTGTCAACCTGAAATATCCAAAGTGGTCAATGGTTTGATGGAGGGTGAAAAGTGTCCAATACACGTACGACCTAAACGAAAACCAGTCCATTTCTTGTTAATCGGATTTTGTTGCGTCCGGCACACTGGGAAGTGTAATAAAAGACACAATTTGGAACTCATCTATTAAAAAAATTTTACTTTGGTGTCTATCACATTTATTTTCTAAGCTGTTTATTGGAAATGTACACGATGGGTTTTTCACTTCAGAATAACGTAATACAGTTTGCTATGTGTTCTAAATTATCTGAATGCTATTTAAATCATATGTTTTTTTGGATTTTAGTGGTTAATGTTCCTTTCAAACTTTCGATTCGTTATAGATATCGAAATTCACTGAATAGTGAGAACATGGATAGTTTGATCAAAGTCGGTCATGACATAGGACAATTAAGATGTCTTTTGAAGTGTTTCATTTTGCTCTCTGTAGATCTTCAAAGAATGGTAGTCAGTGTGTTATTCATTTCGTATGTTTCACCGAGATGAGTCTTTTCGCTAGTGGATGAGAATTGCCTTAAATTTGGACAATAAATAAATGCCACTATTTTTTAACACCAAGTTTTTTGGCCGTTGCGAAGTCCCCACCACTGTTTTTCAGGAGAAACTAAGTGTTTGACTATCGAAACTAATGTAAGGCAAAAGACAGCTTCTTGTGTTGTATTGGGGTTCTTGCATTCGGGCCATTTATTGTAGGAGCAGTTGTATTCTCTAGTCAGATTATTGGTTTATTCACCTAGATTGTCTTTATAGGACTAATTACTTGTTAGTCATCGACACGATAATTATGACTTGATCAGAAGTTGATGTTTGCGCATATTATTATGTGCGCAACTCTGTTAAGAAGCACAGTATCATAAAGTACGTATTGGCAATCCCAACGGACTGTCTTATGTACATGATAAGCCTCAAGCTAGTACTACAATATTAAGTCATTCCACTTATCGCATTTCATTTGATCGTTCATCCAGGTAAATAACACTTATTCTCGACTGGTCATAATATGTAGTCCAGTTGACTTTGAGTCTTTCTACATTATCACTAATGCAGTAATATGACATGTTTCTGATCATAATTGGTTTCTTCTGTGTGATAACTCATACTATTACGGTTCGCAGCAAATATTATGACGTGTTCATTTGATATTTTTATTTTTATCCCATGGGATTGTAAGTATACAACTTTGTTTAGAGTCGCATGAACTCATAGTAATAAAACATTAGGGGTACTTTGATGATAATAATATGAAATTGTTTTTAGGATTAATAACGTTAATATTAATTACATGCGATATAAGTAGCACTGTTCATGCCATGTGAAGAATACCCCCTATTGAATGGACTTTGTAATCCAGTATTATTTAAACCTCTAGATAACTTGTCCTATTCCGACTAAAAAATGCTCTATTTTTGGAAGAACATTTACGAATGTATCACAGAGACATATTGATATTCACTTTTGCTTAATTTTACCCATCTCCCATCTGAATAATTAGTTTAGTGGCAGAACTGGATAATTTCTACTTTTTCTCAATAGTATTTTCTTATCTCTGAAGTGCACCATGTGAGTAAACGGAGTTATGTCAACTCAAATATATTAACAAACACAATTTTATGTGCAACTTATTAGTTGTCTTTTAAAAACCCTTCTGTCCGTAGTAATTAGCTATTTGATTTCAGTTTTCATCTGTTTGTCTCTTTTTAACCTTTTCTGTACTGTGTTATTAATAATTAGAACCTGTCTTTTCAGATATCCATCATTTTTTTCAAAACATAAATTCATTAGTACAAAGTTGTGCTTATTTTTACAAATCAATACAGGATGATTATGAACATGTTTCCATGTTAAGTAAACGTTTAATCGATGGTATCACTTCCAAAATTCAACACGTTACCCTCAATGGTGACCCAATTCAACGTTATCCAGGCTGTGTAAACTTTAGTTTTGCTTGCGTAGAGGGTGAAAGCTTACTCATGGCTTTAAAGAATGTTGCTCTATCGTCCGGCAGGTGATTTTAAATGTTTTGTAGTCGTTTTCAAACCATATTTGTTTTTTTTTGTATGATATATACAAAATCACTAAGAGAAATAAGCCTTAGTGTTTATGTATTTACTTTTAAAGTGATTGTTTTAATTGAATAGAATATAAAAATATTTTAACCCCCTTGTATTATAATAGTTCCAAGTATTAAGCCGCTTACCAATTTCTTTGGAATTCTGCCTAAAAAGTACTGGACAGCCGTCTGGTCCTAGTATAGGACTCGTGAGCAGTGCGCATCCATCATCCCACACGTGAGATTCGAACCCTGGACCTTTGGTCTCGCGCGCGAACATGTAACCTCTAGGCCACTGAATTGGTATCCAACAGTGTTAATGTCTAACTTCAATCGATTCAGGATCTTGCTCAATCATTTTGTTATAATTTTCTCTTACGGTTATAACCCAGCTATTCCTATCGCTTAGTATTCTCGGACACAGATTCAATCGACAAGTCCCCAATTTGGAACACGGTTGAACAGGAAAGAGATTATATCCCAAACAAAAAGTTTAGATGGAAATAAGAAGCACAATAGGAAAACCGTTAGTATATTTATAGTTTTTACATGAGAATATTTCTAGAGTATTCTCCAAGTATCGGCTATCGCTGATTGGACAAGAATTAGCCAATCACCGTGCGCCAAAGCAATCGTGCATTGAACATGCTTTAATCCAATCTATGTCCCGCTAACACCTTTATTGTCTGAGGTGAATTAATGTCTCACCCAAAGTAAATATATATATATTTATATCGGTTAGGAAATTAAATAAAAAATAGCCAATCAGGATGAAGCGTTAACAGAAGAGCTTCAAATTATAGGAAAATGATGAAGGTACTATAGATTGAGTTCTAAGAATTAATCAACTTATTAGGAGTAACTCGATAATTTAGTCTGCAAATCATGGTACTGTAGTCCGGAAGGACCCTATTTTCTAGCTCTAAAAATGTTAAACGCATATGAAAGATACCCAGGGTTATAACAAATCGCATGTTTCGTGTCATGCCGAGCATGGTTCATGCTAATTTAATAACGAATAAAATATCACATTGGAAAAAAATAAATATGAAACTGAGTAATTATCACTCTGAATTAAAAAAAAACAGAAGTAATGTTGAACAAGAAGTCACAATTAGTAAAAGAGTGTAATTTTGTTTTTTCATCCTGTCATATCAGTACTTTTACTACTTGTTAATTTGTAATTGTGTACAAGGCTCCCAAATGCTCATTGGCTACCATAGGACTGCATCTATTTATGTTGCTCCACTGTTTTTAGGGTCAGACCCTTAGGCCAAAGGCTTCGGATGTGGCCCTCCGTGAAAACCACCTGCTTCGGTCTGGGCACCCGGGCAGTATCACACAAATGAAGTGACTTATGTGGCGCATATATATTCGGTGCCCCTTTGCACCAATATTTATATGTTCAAATAAATAAATAAAATCTTTAATAGTCGTGGCGTTCGAATTTGATTTTCTCCAACAGTGTTTTTCTAATTTGTACTATATATATAAGAAATTAAACCTATCAGCAGCTTATGTTTCATCCCTCATAAAACTGCTATTCACTGCCCAATCATGTGTATTTATCATTTTGGTGGTTGCTGATTGCCTCACTGCATCATTAGCTGCAGTGTAAATGATCAGTTTTTTCTTGGTGTCGCACGCAGTTGAAGTGGTCCTAAGTCGTTGGATTGTACCAAGTTCTTGTCCTAAATTAAACGTTGACTTTGCCCTGTTTAAAGTGAAGCATACCGGTAGCGAGAAGGCTGAAATACTGAGCTTAATCAGTCAGTCACAACCTGGAATTTGGTACACATGTACATCGGTTCAAGTTGCCTCACCTCATTAACAGAGAGAGAGAGAGAGATGAAATTGTCAGGGCAAATCTCAGAATAGTAGGGGTTTAATAAAACTAATCTAACTGATTTAGTTGTAAAGGAATCAAACTTATGACCCAGCGTTGTAAATCGAATGTCTGAAATCCAGCATATAATTCAGATCATTAGGAAGGGGATTATAATCACGTATTTATCATGAATGTTTTCATTTAACTTCTTTCTAACAACTTGTTTTTATTGTAGTGAAAATCACCAATGTGTCAGGATATTAGTTAGATATGTTAGTCGATTTTTCTTTAAGAACTATTCATTTTATCTATTGGTATACTTTGATCTGTTATCTTGCATTACGTTAATTTTATTTTAGTGCATGTACATCTGCTTCATTAGAACCATCTTATGTTTTAAGAGCGATAGGGACTGAAGAGGATTTAGCACACTCTAGCATTCGATTTGGTATCGGACGATTCACCACTGAAGAGGAAGTTGATTTTACAGTCGCTGAACTAAGTAAACATGTTCATCGGCTCCGAGAAATGAGGTTAGTTAATTAGTCATTTCAAAATTGCATAATAGGTATATTATTTCTTGATGTAGTTAGCGTTTAACCATTTTAAAAGTCCACTGAATGTTTCTAGCATTCATCTGGATAAATAATTATTTAAAATAGGAGTCCATATATATGTATACATTTACGGTTATTTCGTTTATACACTTTATATTTATTTTGTACTTACTGAATTTATTGTCACATACCTAGGCAAATGTATTTGTGTATGCGTAAATCTTTATCTTAACATTATTTTGAAAGATACATTTTGTTTGAATTTTTTCCTATATACCACAAGAAATAATATTGATTAAACATATATAATCTATGGAGTTCACTTTGTTGATAAATTGTAATTTACAAGTTTTTTTAATGGATAATCTACTGTATTGTTTTGCTTGTATCGTCCCATTGAGTTTTTTAAGACTGCAATTGATCAGTCTATTATTGGCATATGTGCATACTGTGCGTATGCCTCGATATTGCCTTAATTCACAAGCTTTTATAAGCAAAGATGGATAGCGGCTAGCAGTGAAATCCAGCAGGTACATCAGCTCCATTCCTCTTCAGCTTTGCCATCGATGACATTCTGGAAACAGCTCTGACGGATGTAAGTAATAGTGGTGTGGATCTGTTGCCTGGAGAAAGACTTCTCGACCTTGAATATGCGGACGATATTGTCTTACTGTGCGAGAATGCCCAAGCTATGCAATCCGCACTTAATCAGTTGGCAATCAATGTCCGTAGGTATGGTATGTGCTTCTCACCTTCGAAGTGCAAAGTACTTCTACAAGATTGGCAGGATTCTAATCCTGTACTCACTCTGGATGGCGAGCAGATAGAAGTAGTCAAGAAGTTCGTGTATCTAGGTAGCTGCATAAGTGCTGGTGGTGGCGTGAGTGATGAGATCAATGCACGTATAGTGAAAGCCAGAGCGGCTTATGACAATTTGTGCCATCTTTGGCGCCTTCGTGATGTTAGTCTGGCTGTAAAAGGTCGGATCTACAACGCAACGGTGAGAGCAGTTTTGCTCTATGCTTGTGAATCCTGGCCTCTCCGAGTTGAGGATGTTAGACGACTCTCTGTGTTTGATCATCGTTGTCTCCGAAGGATTGCTGACATCTAGTGGCAACACCATGTTGGTAATGCAGAGTTTCGGCATCGTGTGTTCGGTCACAGAGACGATAATGAAATTGGTGTCACCATCTTGAAACACCGACTTCGGTGGCTTGGACATGTTCTACGAATGTCGTCCCAGAGAATTCCACTTCGTGCATTATTTGCCGACTCTGGGACTGGTTGGAAAAAGCGGAGAGGTGGTCAGTATATGACATGGTGTCGTGGTATGGAAGAAAGCTGCAAAGGGCTGGCTTGTGTTGGTCCTTCACGACTCCCTGGCTGGGGTCCGAGAGACGGTGTAACACATTGGTTAGAGATGTTATCAGATATGGCTCAGAATAGAAGCCAGTGGCGATCCTGCTGTAACCTTCTTTTACTTTCTTCATAAAAAAGTGGTTGCCTCTTCCTTAACTGAAAGATATTTTCTGATTGTAACCCATTATTGTTCTCTCTTTTTTTCCTCCTTTCTCTTCAAGTTATCATTGTTTTGTGTGGCGCATATATATTTTGTGCCCCCTTGTACCAATATTTATGTGTTCAAATAAATAAATAAAAATAGGTACATCCAGCTGGCGAGTCCCAAATAGGACGAAACGCGTGTTTTGGATTCCACTGCTAGCTACTATCCATCTTTGCTGACAATCTACTGTGTTTTACGTTTTTGTACTCGTTGTAAATAAATGTTCCAAAAAATCCACCTATTAATGCAATTATGTATCCAAATCATGTAATCATCTGCTCATACTATATAAATTTCAGTTGATAGTATGTTTTTCAAAACATATGTCAATCATTTGAAAAACTGTAAAGTTGATATTTTAGAGTATAATAGACGACTTTCAACCATTGCCCCCAAAGTGCCCTGGTGCGACCGAGGGTGGAGAGAGTCAGCTCTCTTTCTCGAAGTTTCATCAAATGGCCACGCGTATACAGCTACTGCCAGGGAAGTCCTACTCACTGCCTTCTCTCACACGGGTGTTGTTCATGAAATTAGGAGGATAAAAAGCGGTTTTATGGACACGGGGATTCCACCCAAGGGAGTTGGAAAACCCTGATTCCAAACCAATGGTGCACATAGGCTCCAGTATCCTAAAAGAACAAATGACGTATGAACCAATTGTTGGTCACTGGCTACCATGGGTCTGCATCTATTTATGTTACTCCACTGCCTTGTGGATCAGACCTTTAGGTTGAAGGCTCCGAGTGTGGCCTCTGGCTTTTAAGTGTTTTACTTTCCTTGGTTGATTTTTTCCTATATCTGCTTAACTTTTTTATTGTTTGATTTTTTTATTTTAGTCCTTTGTGGGAAATGGTATCAGAGGGAATCGACATAAAGTCTATACAATGGACACAACACTGATCATATGTTTCACTATACTAGAAGTTTTATTGTACTTTTGTTCTTCATCTTTACCACTAAAAACTTCCATATTTTGTTTTCTAAGTGAAATTAAAATTTTAAGAAACATTCAATTAACAGTTGGATCGTGAAAATTCAAGAGAGTTATTTTTCTTTCTCTTTGAATATTTCAAAATAAGTGATCTTTATTCACAATTCCACATTGTAAATCAGTTCCTAATTTTGTTAGTTTCAAAGTAATATATATTTTAGTGTTGAAAGTATTTGAATAGTCTAATAAGAAGGCGACGATTATCAGAAATATGTGATGATATATTAGCGCAATACATTTCGAAAAATCTGATCACACATATACTTGTTAAGAACGTATATATATAAGGTCGACTAGACAAATGGAGGTTAAATTTAAGGTGAGCACAAACTGTTTTTAAACTCATAAAGGGGTTCGAATTTTCGTATGGTCAAGGCTTTAATAAACCTTAGTATACACCCTTTAACATTTTCGTACAACACCACCAAAGCCAAGCTAAGATTAAACTTGTGACCTGTTTCAACTATATGTTTGGCAATAGAGGATGATGAATGTTTATCATCCACTCTTGTTGAGTCGTATGATTTTATTTGACTTGGTAGCAATTCAGACACTATTTTAATGATCACGGTTACTCTTCCCGATTTGTGTGTGGCTACACAGTAGGATATTACGCTATTGTTTTTCTACCTCTTACGTTTTTGGTGAAGCACAGACCTTGTTTTTTCCTTGATAATAACCTTCGCTGGACAATACATTTTGTTGATAACTGATTTGTTGAAAATGTTGTTTATTTTGCTTTTTCACTTTGTGGAGAAATTCTATATTCTGTCGGCATTTTAACGTAAGCAGTGATCTAGACAATTATGAATTGATGCAGGATTTATTAGTGCTTCAGATGGCATTATTAAACCAATTACCTTCTGTATCTACTAAAAATCTGCTAGCACTTGATTCTTAACATTTGTGATATATGAGAAATAGAAAGTTATATTGCTTAAAATTATGTTTTATTAAGGTGCATTGTACAGAAATTAATGTACTTTGAAAATGGTTTTCGTCAAAACCTGAAGTTTTTTTTAAAGAAACGGGGAACACGAGATATCATTTGTTTTAGATGGGAATGTATTGTCCGTTACTACGTTAAGCCCATGTAACTTATTCTAGCTTCTGGACAGGCCAATTTATCCATTCTTCTTGAGCCACGTTTTGACATTGTTAATTATTCACCGATCAACCTTGACTGTATTCCGTAAAAATCAACATTGCTAAAATTTCACTAACCAGAATAAACAATTTAAACTCTGTCCGGGGAGTTGAAGGAAGGATTATGACGTCTCATGATGGTAGCCGAGGTTTTCGGAAGTCAGATGCCGATGCTCTTCCTAACAAACAGCAATAATTTTTATAAGTACATGGAATGTTCGGACAAGGTGGGAGGCCGGGAGGACTAATCAACTAGCAACGAAAATGAGGAAACACAGCTTGACGGTGCTCGGAATCAGCGAGACCCATAGGACCCAAGCTAGATAGCAAAGGTTAGTACGGAAGAGATAATGCTGCACTCTGGTAACAAAGAAAAAAATGCTCTATATACTCAAGGAGTTACTTTGATGCTGTCCAAAGAAGCACGAAATGCACTTAGTGGGTAGTAATCTCAGGGATCCAGGATCATCAATGATTTCGATAAAGATCAGTTTTATGAGAGGCTGCAATCGATTGTAGTGATGTGCTCAGGAAGAGACCTGACAATGCTGATGGCAAATCTAAGCGCCAAAGTCGGAATGGACAACAACGGTTAGAAAGATATCATGGGACGACATGTACTAGAAGAAAAGAACAGGAATGTCAGTGGTTTGAAAATCTATGCGCATTCAACAAATTGGTTACAGGCGGCACAATATTCCCACACCAACACATACACAAAGCTAAATGGTCCTAACCGGACCATACCACAGAGAACCAGATAGGTCATATTTGCATCACTCAGAAATTCAGAAGGTCAATGGAAGACGTGAGAACCATTTCGAAAGCTGATGTAGCTTCAGATCACTTGGTGGCTGCCAAGATGAAACTGAAGCTAAAGAAGAATTAAATAATTGGAGAAACAGCATTATAGAGATTCAATACATAATTCCCTCGAGATACTGATAAACTCAACCAATTTAACATAACTCTCAACAACATGTTACAAGGTCTGCGCAAGGGAAGAAGAGACTACTACAGAGGACATTTGAAAAGAGATCAAAGGAGCATAACTTTAACGTGTCAGGAGGTGCTGGGCCGCAGGAAGCATCATAAGTTATGGATCTCTATCGAAACCCTATACAGGATTCAAGAAATGAAGAACGAAGAGACAGCAGTCAACAACAGAGAAAGTGAGGACATGAGCTGAATACTCAGAAGCTAACAAATAAATACAGAGGAGCATTAGAGCCGACAAGCAGAAAAACATGGAACAATACGCGGGAACAACTACAAGAGAAGAAAATATGAAACAACCATTTGACACGACGAGGAAACTGGCAAGGAAATATGATAAACCAGAGAAACCGGTCAAGGACAAAAAAGGCAAGACAATCACCGAGATCCAGGGACAGGAACAGATTGTTGGAACACTTGAAGGAAGTCTTGAATAAACCAGCTCCACTGAACCCACCCAATATCGAAACTGCACCCTTCCCATAGATGTCACTCCATCAACGACCGAAGAAATCATCATGGCCATCAGACAAATGAAGAGTGGGAAAGCAACAGAACTTGATAGTATACCGGACGAAGCATTGATGTCACACATGTAAATAACTACAAACATGTTCCACGTTCTATTCAGGAAGATTTGGGAGGAAGAACAACAACCGCCGACAGACTGGGAAGAAGGATATCTTATCAAGATATCAAAGAAAGGAGATCTGGACATGTGTAAGGACTACGGACGAATTACACTACTTTCGGTACCAAGAGAAGTTGTCAACAGTATTGTTGAACCGGATAAAAGATTTAAACCGACCGTATTCCGTTAGGGTCGGATTGTGAAAACCCTTACATCTGAGGGGAAGCACGGAATACAATGGACAGCTTGGATGCAGTTAGACGATTTGAACTTCGAAGGTGATCCGGCCCTTCTATTCCACGCACCTCAACAAGTGCATGTCAAAACAACTACTGCATCAGTAGGCCTCAACACACATAAGAGAATCTGTGGAAGAGGTGAAAACTTTTATGTACCCGGGTGGCATCATCGATGAACAAGGAGGATTTGATGTAGATGGCAAAGCAAGAATAGCATTCCCATAGTTGAAGAACATATGGAACACAAAACAACTATCAACAAACATCAAAGTCAGAATCTTCAGTACGAACGTCAAGACAGTTCTACTGTACGGTGCTGAAACGTGGAGAACTACCACAACCATTATCAAGATGGTACAAATATTTATAAACAGGTGTCTACGCAAGTTACTGAATATCCGTTGGTCGAATACCACCAGCAACTGCCTACTGTGAGAAAGAGAAAACCAACATCCAGCTGGGGAGGAAATCAGGAAAAGACACTGGGAGTGGATAGAATATACATTACGGAAACCACTAAACCGCATAACGAGGCAAGCCATAACTACGAATCCCGAAGGGAAACGGAGAGGTCAATGGCCAAAGAACACACTGCATCGGGAATTGGAAAAAGAATGAATAGTAACCGGGAAGAATTTCCAAGTGTTGGATGGAAAATGCTTGTTGGAGGCCTATGCTTCTCCATGAAAGGTAATAGGCGTAAGTAAGGAAGTTTATCCATAACCCAAACTATCACAAGAGAATATTCATCAGAGACTAATAATTAATATCATCATTGGTCTCAAGATAACTTTTTAAAAAATCTTTCTCACTGTTCAACATCGAACCATTAGTGTTCAGCGCACTCGTAAAACGGTTATGCAACAGTCGAAACAATCTAAATTAGAGTTTACGTTTAATTTATGTATATTTGATCAATATAAAAGTATGATAAACAGCATAGACATTCATTCTGTTAATATGAAATGAAGTATTAGTGTTTTGTTTTTACTTTTTCGGATTGTTGTATACAGGATAGGACTGCTAGTCATCGATTTGATTTTTAGTTAGTTAACAGTATATAGTTGTCATGATAAAGCCTGCATGTGACCGTGATGTACAATAGGATAAAAACGTGTCAGAGGAAGACATTTACATAAGACCTCAAATAAACATTAGTTGTTTCAGTGCATGTGATCAAATTCCAATACAGTCTGGAGAAAAATATTATCCCTGCATCTACCTCTCAACAATGCTGTTAATATTTATCCTTCTTCGCATCTCTCCACCTATCCAGTATATCGTATATTTTACAAAAATGCTTTGTTAACGCATGAATGCAGATCATTCATCCGCTTCTCAGCAAGACAACGTATTGTAGTTAAAGAATAGTTTATCAAATGTTAATTTATTCAATTCCTTTCCTATCAAATAAACAGTTAGATTACTTAGTATATCCCCTTATTTTTTTGTTACTAAGTCTGTCTTAGACAGAAGTCAATACTGTTTATTCCACTTATTATTATGATTATATTTTATTTGTCTTTAAAATGATACTTTTTATGTAATATATTACAACTAGCCGAAGTCTAATCTAATTCACATAAATATCCAGTGCTTAATTTCGTGTTAGTTTGTTTATTATATATACATATAAGTTATTTTACACAGGTGTTGTTGTCCCAATTGTAGATGCACACTGCTGAATAGTCCCATACTAGAAAAAAACGACCATCCAGTACTTCCAGGTTTCTATTAGTGATCTAGCTTGGATCGACTCATAAATTCAACTATTAAAATTACCATCTCCACAAATCTCCATTCTGATACCTATTTTTTATTTAGCTCTAAAACCTGAAGTTTTCTATCTAGTTTTATTGTCAATCGAACAGTTCAAATATCTATTACATATAAGGTC